TCAAAAACTTGCCGATACACCGATTCGAATCGGGCAATGACTGTATAAAGATACCGCGATGGATATTCCATTCAAGAGCGACAAAGTTTGAGTTTTGCTTGCTCTCCTGTACATAATATGATTTAGTAACAGAGCTACAGACAATGCGAAATGTAAAGAAATGAAATGTGATTTAAGTCCAGTCATCATCCTTCATCATTATGTGACGATTTAAAATGTAATTTGATTGGCTACGAAATAAGGATATTTGATTTGAACATCATCCACAGCCCGCAGCTGGGTATAAGATTCCCGCAGTTTGTGCCATTCACCAAGACCCTACGCTAGTCTCACCCATTTACAGCCAGCGACTTTGATAATATCGTCTACCCAACTCATTGCAAGACATCCCACGTTTCTACAGCCACCTCTTGGCTAACCATTGAGTTCATTTATGTGACTATTTCAAGAACAGGACTGAGTTTAGCAAAAGGACACAAAATTTTGATCGATTGCATTGGTATGATTTATAACGCAAGAAAGAATAATCATCCACAACAAATAGGTGCGACACCTGAAGTAAAATCGCAAAATAGACCTCCGCAGTAACAAATTGTGCTGAAATTACACTGCACACTTCAATTCATTACGTTAGTGGGCAAGTTTGCTTGAGTTACGGCAAGTTTGGCTGAGTTAAGACGGCTTGCCCCGAGTTTGCCAGTGTTTGCGCTACGGGTGGTGGCGAGCGGGTCATTATTAAAGTGGTATCGAGCCGCATGTTATGAATGCCGAGCTAGCAAACTAATACAACTCGATAGACTGTTTGCCGGTAATCATGTTAGCCACATAACAGCTCTGTGAGAAGTTGGCTAAGTTTATTAGACTGACAGTTGAAGACGGTACGAAACAATGATAAGATGTTGCATGGTACTTCTAACAGTGTGTTCTACTATATATATATTAATGATATAAATGATTTATTCGTGTGTTTTGTTGATATTAATCACAAATAGTGAATGTTGTATAGGGTCCTTTTAAAAGAGACGTCGTCTCGAATGCTGCGGGGCAGATTCTAACATGGAAGTGAAACAGTCTATTGGAATTACGCCATAACATTGTATTAACTAGCCTACGAACTAAAATGACAGACAATTATTGAAAAAATTTCTTCCCAAAATCAAAACTTAACCACGCATGAATAAATCACCGGCCGTTTTTATTTTCCGCAAAAACAAATAGTATAATGTCACCAACTATAGAACATCACACAGGCGGCATTAATTCTACATCTCGTGATAACTTTCGTACTTTCCACTGAGACAATTTACCTTTCTCGTTTCACTTCCTTACGATTGAAAACAGTACGAAACATGATCATTTTCTCATTGGAATGAAAACAACAATAAACTATGACAAGATAATTCCGCGACGGCCATTTTGTCTCGTACATACCTACCACAAAACAGTACATTGGATGGCTATATCATAAACCAAATAAAATAGTAAGTCATAAAATGCTTCCTTTAATCAATTCCTGAAAGTAACCAATATTTGTTATTGTAGATAACGTTATACTGAAATAGTGACACACGAATATGGCATTTTGCAGCTGCACGAAGCGCGAAGCGTTCGACTGTAATTAATGAACGATGAAACCGTTAATTTAATCAAAAGTTTTTCCACCTCGACCTCACACGCCGCCGTTTAACTCTCGCCAGTAAAAATTTGTGAGCAACAACTACCAATGGGATAAAATTGAACTGAAAATCAGTTCCCATCAACAAATCGAACTTCACAGTAAAATAGACTTGTATTTCGAACGGTATCTCATGCACAAGTATTTCGACCTACCCATATTTCCAATGACTACATTAAATACTTTGCGTAAAACTGCATTTTCGAACAATTAGATGGAAGTAAGTTACGGCACCTGCACGTATATCAATGTCTATAAAAGATTTATTAAAGCTAAAGTAAGACTTACCCACATATTTAACACTTATATGAGCGAAATATTTTATACCCGACTGAAACGTTTATTATACAGTGTATTGATTTGCATTCTCGCCATATTTAAGAAATTAATAATAGAAATAATGCTAAATCATCTAAAAATATTTAAAAAATATTTTGTTCAATATTCTGGCTAATTGTATCTAGTAAAGTTTCGCAAAACTGTCTCAACTCGTATGCACCACGCAAGGGCAGTGACCTCGCCACCCGTTTCACCGAGCAATACGTAATCTTTCTCGATCGCTTATTTACCTATTTTTTAAATTATGATTATGTACTAGTATTGTTATAATTTACTATTTATTTACATTAATTAGATACGTTGACTGATAAAAGTTTTTTGTAACTTAGATTTGGTACTTACCAACTTTAGGTTACATGAAAGTATTGCTAGAAGTACCTAGCACCACAGCTGGTGGCTGGCGCCATACCGGAGCCACAACCGGCTATGCAGGGTTTTGCACGTGAGTTTCGGTTTCAACATTAGACTTCACAACTTTGAAAGCAGAAACTTCGACACTCGTATCCTCCGCGTAAACTAAACGTTTCACATCATGCCATAAGAATAGACACGCACTTATACTTCAAGGATTACCATGCAGGTTCTGGTGAAACTAACTCTTGTTTACATACCAAACCACGTGGCATTTCGTGACAAACTAGAATAGAATGTATGCGAGATGTCAGCCTAACGTAGACGCAGTACGGGAAGCAATGTCGACTTATCTAACAATCGCGCGCTCGATACGACACTCCCCCGCCGTCGCTACCCGCACCCCACTACCAAATAGATCGAAAATGCGTTTCTTTCTGCGCCTTTAAAATCATTGTTCAAAATGTTTGCAAGTGCCGTGCAAGTCAATGGACCTTTGGATCAAATTTGTTTACCGCAATTAAATAAAAAATAGAAATTTACGAAATTTTTTTCGAGATTAATTTTTTTAGTGATTTGGGTTAATTTCGGATATCAACACATAGTACAATTTTAATACATAACATTTTTATTTAATAAAGAATTCTACAGTTTAGAGGAATTTCTTTCCAATAATTTTTATTTTATTTTATTGTGTTACAATTATTAATACCAAGATCGAACACTCAGAAAAAATCCTTCGGTTCGGAGGGATTCGAACCGACGTCATCTAGCATACCGTACCAGACGCTATACCAACTAAGCCACGGAACGAACTAGCGGACCTCACGAATTTTCCTATGTGCTTTTTGTCATGTCCTTGTATTTGATTTTCCAATGTCTTTTTTGCCGTAGCGCCATCAATGAGACATCTATGAAAGTATTTCGTCACCCAGTTAGATAGCTTTACAGCGACCAACCCCGGCTAGAGATGTCGCTATTCACTGCATTTTAATTTTTTATTGAATTGATATACAATTATTATTTATATGAAATTACTCCACTAGTTTGTTACAATTAATAATACAAAGATCGAACACTCTGAAAAAATTCCTTCGATGCGGACGGATTCTAACCGACGCGCGACATCTTCGAGCATACCGTGTCAAATTATTTTATTTTGTTTAAATTAACTATTGTTATTTATATTAATGACGATGATGTTATCCAAAAACATTGTATTTTAAATTCTAATATTGTGATATTGATAACATGAAATAAATGGTTCGTTTCAGATATAATGCATTCTAATAAATAACGATATTTATTTTAATTAAATTTTTATTGAATTGATATTCAATTATTTTTTGTGAAATTACTCCACTAGTTTGTTATAATTATTAATACAAAGATCGAACACTCACAAAAAACACTCAGAAAAAAATCCTTCGATCCGGTCGGATTCGAACCGACGTCTTCTTGCATACCGTGCCGGACGCTATACCAACTAAGCCACGGAACGAACCAACGGACCTCACGAATTTTTCTATGCGCTTGCATCGTGTCTTTGTACTTGGTCTTTCAACGACTTTTTAGTCGTAGCGCCATCTATGAAAAATCTATAACAGATTTATCACCCAGTTAGTACCTTTACAGCTATCAGTCCTGGCGAGAGATGTCGCTATTCACTGTATTAATTAAATTTTTATTAAATTGATATTCAGTTATTTTTATTATATTAGATATTTATTTTATTAATTGTAGTTCACTCAATGCATAGATATACTAAGTCTATAACTCAGTGCGTATTTGCATAACCGTCCAATAAAGTCGTCCAAACTTAGAAATTCTATAGGGAGTTTGAGGTTCATAATATTATGGCGGTCGACTACTCCGTAATCTGCATCAGAGCTAATTCATCGAATAATTGACCAACTAAGAACTCTTATGAGTAAATTGACAATCTTAAGCGGCACCTAAGACTTATCGTTCTCATTTATTGCGTGGTTTGAAGGAAAACTCAGTTGTGAAAGTAAAATTAATACGTACATACGTCGTTAGTTACTATATTGTGGCATTACAATAGAAACTCTGACATCAACGAGGATGTGCATTTTCGGTCCGCCAAGTAGTAAACCGCATTTTTTATTGTATATATACATCTTGTTCTAAAAACAGAATTTCCATCATTTGTAATCAATATTCAGTGTATATTTACAATAAAAAATGCGGTTTACCACTGGGTGGACTGAAAAAGCACATACTCGTTGGTGTCAGAGTTTCTATTGTAGTGCCACAATACAGAAAGTAACTACTTATGTATGTTTAATTTAGATCACTAAATAAAAAAATAAATATAAAAATAATTCTGCTTTTAGATCACTTTTTTTTAAATACACTTTAAAACTTTCGGGTTGCATTATACTAACATGTCAAAACAGGAATAAACGCGATTAAGAATTTTATAGGTATTTGCAGACCTACAAACTATCCCGATGTTAATCGAAATGATCACTCCAGTCAGCCCGTGATCATGGCCAATAAGTACAACTTACCCGAAACGTCGGAATAATTTGTAAGTGTAGAAATACCTGTTAAATTGTTTAATGAGTCTATTTCCGCTGTGAAACGTTAGTTTTATTAAATGTTTCGGCAGAACATTTCCACTACATCAAGCGGCTGGTCGGCGCGGACTATGTCGGCATCGGAGGCGACTATGACGGCGTTAACAGGCGAGTTCAGTCCTTCTCATCATTGTACTATTATTTTCACCTGTGTTACCCATAATTCTTCACATACAAATTAGGGTTTTTTACGGCTTTTAGAAAAATCATTGCCTAACCTATAAATATATTTCTCTATTATCTTTGAATTTCTTCGCAAGTAATTTTGAATTACGGACATTAGCAAATAATTATTGCTCAGAAATCCATTTTTAAGACATTAGATCTTGTGAGACAAGAACAGAATCATGAAACCTGTACACACCCAACGAAGCATTGAATTGCTCTGTTGTCACCCTGCTCTGATAACCAACTAGCCTAGCCGTATCTGGAAAAAGGGAACTTTGAAAGATTAGTAACAAAGAAATCACCAGAATCTTGTTTTGATGTGCGTACATGGACAATAATTCATGATTTATTATTGTTGTGTCTCAGAGTCCCTCGTGGTCTGGAAGACGTCTCCAAGTACCCTGAGCTGTTTGCGGAGTTGCTCCGCAGCGGACAATGGAGCGTGCAGGAGCTAAAGAACCTCGCTGGGCTCAACATGATGCGTGTTATGCGACAGGTCGAGAAGGTATGCTGAAAGTATTGTATTCTGTAAGAAAATTTAAATCTTGGGAAAAATTTCCAGTGATGAAAATGATTCCATAATTCAGAGACATCAAGTATATAACCAAAAATAGACGACGAGAGACGAAATGTCATTTAATTTGTTTGAAAATTATTCTGCCAATTTCATTACGGTGACTAATGCGCTCCGATTGGCCAGCCCGAATTCGAAACCCTTCAATGGACCAGTTTAACTTGAGCTTCGCTATAATGGACGAACATTGAAAAATTACATCAAAATTTAATATTGAATTATCGACGAAATGTGACTTTGTTTTGTAATTACATTTTTACTATTTTTCCCACACCACCGAATGGAACAGTCTCCCATTGTTAGAGATATTATCTTTATTACAATAAATACAGAATATTTTTAGAATATACGGGGACGTACACCCAGGTCAGTTGTTGGCGCTGTACTATTCAGCTTTCTAATTTGTGAGTTTAGCTCAAACAAGAGTTGATATTTAAAAGTGATATAAGGCCCATTTGCCTGATGAATTGCCAGGGATGGATGGCCCTTATTTCGTCTATATTTCTGGTTATATACTCGATGTTCAAAGATAATTGTCAAACGATAGATACAATTTTTTTTTGTCAGGTCCGTGACGAGATGCGCACGAATGGAGTAGAACCCGAGGAACACCCCGACTCGCCGACTGACAATGGCAATTGCACTAGCAACGCCTTCCATACGGAATACGTCTAAACGATTCCACATTCCAACACTGTCGAACGTATCTCAAACCTTGTTGAATTAAACAGTTTCATTATCTAACATATAACCAGCAATAATTAAATATAAATAATATATAGAAATATCTTCTTGATTCTTTTGTAAAAAGCTAGCAGTTATTAAGATCATTTTAACCACATTTACTTGGAACACTGTAATTGTATTGATACGTTTTACCATGTTGAACATGATTTGCAAAAGCTGGTTACCGTTAAGCATTATGTCTACGAAATGTTTCAGGAGTCGCAATTTACATTCTTTCACTACTTAAATCTAATCTATAAAATACGGAATGATTTGATTTGATATACACACAACTAAGCTACCATGAGCACGACGTGACATAAATGGGTTAGCGTTGAACGTTATCCTTAAGCTGCCATTTGAAACCCGTAATCAATCAACAGGTCGCGTAATTAGGGCAGCGGTGGGTGAAACCAGCGGGTGACATTTATCGACCTGCAATATTGGACACCTCTAAAGCTTGCCAATTATACTTATAATTAAATGAAATGGGTGTTCGTTATAATTTCCAAAACTCACACATTAGATATTGATTCTTGTTTCACACTCTAGTTCAAGCGAATACATTTTATCAAAACATGTTTCTCCGACAGTCTTTTCAATTTCCCCGGAGCACATTTTGTTTCAGCATAAATAGTAAGAGAGAGAAAGTGTTCAAAATTTATGTAAAAGTGAAGACAATGTAGTACTTTTGATGTTCTTACATTCTTTAGAAACTATTACGGGATAGATAAGCGGGTAAATTTGAAATATTTATTTGTTTTCAATGTATTTCATTTAATAAACGGTATTGTATTGTTGCTTTTACCTTTAGAGACTTATATACAAAACAGAACAAGAATATATTCACCAAAATATAAATTTCTCATTCAACATAAATGTCAATCTAGAATGTATTAGATACGTTCGGCAGTTAGGGTATATACCGACAATATCCGATGGTCATTTGATGTTACCTATATGCTCGAGTGGAAAATCGTACGCACCAGGATTACCTCCAACTACTTCGCGAGGGCATAAAAACTGGCTATTAGTGTTAACCTTTGACGCGTACGAACTTTCACTAATATTCGTAAAGTTTAATACGCGGCTTAACAAGCTACTTTTTACTTATATCCGTCAACCTAGTCAAACGTGTTTTACGAAACCTTAATCATACGCTGTTATGAACAAGGCGGCACGCTGAAGAGTAGCTAGTCGAACCGCGTCCATCAATTATATTCAGATTTAGTAAGTGTAATCAGTGTTGTAGATGCATGTGTGTACACTGTGAACTATGCACTCCTTCCTTCAGACTTCGTGATCGGTCACGTTTTCATGTCACCAGACTGCCTAATCTTCGTCTCTGCAGGTCCAGTGACCCACTTCTCTTACCTTCAGTCCAGTTTGGTCAGTTTCATCGATCACTCACTTTTTCTATTCGACGTCTAAATAATGGCTTCAAAGTTAAACGGTAAAATGCATCACAAGGATATTGGATATATATGAGTTTTTTATTCCCTTTAATTATTTTAAACATTCAAAAAAATGTAATAGTATAGTTTGAAATGTTGGTAGGCTCGAAACAGTAGTTAGAACAAAAGGTAACAAAAAAGAAAAAAGTTAAATTGGAATAAAAATAAACTAAATGGAAAGCTTAATCTAAGCGATAAGAGAGAGTCGTGGTAAATTGCGAAACTATTTTTATTTACTATTGTAATAATTAAAATATAAAATAAAGAGTTTGAATAGGAATGTAGGTAGCGAATAAATTTTAAAAAGTTTAATACGTAATATGGTTTTTAGATAATGAAACCCTTTTTTTAATGTCAAAGAATGTATATTTCTAGTTTACATGAGGATAGAGAAATAAAAACTATTAGAAAGTCACAGAAGTATGTTTCGAACACAATGGCTATGTCTTCAAATCTTTCCAGGATTTGAAAACCCTAAAAAAACACGAATCGTCGTGAAAGAAACGTAGTGGGTTACTTTTTTCTAGCCGCTTCAGCGGTACTTGTAATCTGTCTGTAGAAAGTTGTATTGCCATCTATTCATTCAATAAACGTACGTATATCTTAAATACATATGCTTTTCCACAAACGGATTCTGTTCAGTTGACTCAGAATATGTAATAACTCATACCAAAAACGCAGATTCGGGCCTTACATAAGTGGATTATCTGTTGTATCGACAAAACTATAGCAAAGTGCTATACGATCCATTAAGAATAACGTGATAGCACCTCTAGCTTATTAAAGTAATTTATATTTTTCACTTACATATTGTCTTTAGCAGAGCCATCGGTACAGTAAGATTAATAATTTATATATCCTAGAATTAATCATACTTATTGGTAATTGTCAATCGTTAATACCACAACTTCTGCCAATTCTGTTTATTTGTGTTTTTGTTTTGTTAACTTTGATTCTGTTTGTCCACGTCAATAAGCCCTCCCCGTACCTACCTAACTATAAGCCACTCGATCTCCCGATTGATTGAGCTGTGAATCTTTATACACTTACATAGTATATTTATGTGATATTGTGAACTATTTCTTAGTAAAATTACGACTGAACAATTTTTGAACCTTTATCACGAGGCGCGACGACGCTTCGTCTGAAATCTGGCTGTTATTTTGTGATTCGTTTTTAATAGTATTTTATTGTAAAACGTGTCTTTGAAACACAAGCGCACACCTTCTATGTAACATGGTTTTCGTATTTACGCCGCTTTTGCACTATCCCATTTAATTTAGACTGATGTAATTTTCCTATCACATATACGGCACACCCATCTGATACAATTTCCATTAATCGAATTGAATTCTTGTATATATTCGACTCCTTATTTTTTCTAAGGTTGATTTGTATTATATTTATATAATATTTATCTTCATCATCATCATATCAGCCGGAAGACGGCCACTGCTGAACATAGGCCTCCCCCAAAGATCCCCGGCTGTTGCTATACAAATATTTATAGTTACAATAAATGTAATGGTGTATACGCATATATATATTTTCTGTGTTATTTTCGTTTTACTTGAGTATTGTAGCACAGATTACTTTTAACACTATCAAATTGTTTATACACTATGTATTGACAAGTGACAGTCTTTCCTTTTTGAATTCAGCTATTACTAATACACACTGCAGAAAGGCTCACTATCAATTAGTTTCCAGATATGCCCCGGGAAAATAGCGGGTTGAAACATAATTTTCTAAAATGCCCTTTTGCACACATGATACGATAGCATCGCCGTAACGTATATAGATAATGTTTGAATGTTCGATATAGATGAGCGACTGATCGCTTCATCTCACGACACATTCGATTGGATACAGGTTAATATTGGCATACCTAATACACACGATTGAAATAGTGACGTAAACTCGCCAACCTAACGTAGCGACCGAATTCAGGAACTGAATTCTCTGAAAAATCGCCTATTGATAATGCTATAAATATCTATAATAGTATGTGCAGAGGTTCTAATAGCCAGTCACATAAATAATGCTACCCCGCGCCCCGATCTTCTCCGCCAGGCTTTCTTTCATAATAATTAGATACCGAGGAGCTTTCCAATCGAATTTTGGTGTGCGCTTGTGTGGTACTCGGCGCATTGCTGCATCCCTGCATCCCTAACCCCACTTGTCCCCTGCCGCTGCGCTCACGCAGTAGCAACGCGCCGCGTTACCAATGTCTAACTGTTTTATATTTAATACACGACTTGAATATTAAACACTTGCTGTACAATACATTTGTGTTTTATTTAAATTATTTTCCTGACCTTTTTTGGTACAAGTAGTTCAAAATGATGTAATGTACGATACAGATTGTACATTTGTGTACTCATGTCATGTACGTAGTCCTACAAGTGTCGTACCCACTTGGCATTTCTGCAAACTACGCTACAGTCCTACGTGTGATTTGTCTATGAAAAATGTCCATAATCACCATTGACTTACAATTATATGGACGTCGGGTCCGCGCTAAAAAGTGTCCGAACTTATAGGGTGTTAAAATCGTATACAGAGCGTCATTCACGCTTTAGTCTTCGTTTGTTCGACTGACAGCGAAGCAAGCAAAATTAGACAGTACTGCGATAACATTACAATTTAAATTCAACGTTTTAGCTTTTTCATATTCCTTTACATGTCACTACGTTTAAATAGGTTGACTTGGGACATTTTTTTCGTGGTTTTTGTATTAGACCCGTCGTCCATTTATTTGTAAGTCAATGATAATCACAATAACTTTTGTGCCTTTAGATTTGTGCCGTAGCATTCTTAGTTCTGCAGTAAGGAAACACGTAAAGCGCTCTTAAAGGTTATTATTTTCTATATTTTATATGTAAGGTACTTAATTCGGTAAACTTTTAAAATAATATTTTTAAATAATTGTTGCGGGCATTTATATTAGTTTATTAAATGTCAGTCTTAACCTAATGATTTAACCCCTGTGACATTTTATAGTGCATTACGAGACTTGAGACTCGACAAGTTATGGCAATAAAGAAATAGATGAAATGCGTAAGCACATAATATGTACCCGCGGCGGTGGTGTTAGTTTATGTTGGAATATTCCCCTTGGCGAAGCTCCAAATGACTCTTTGAAACAATCCAGCGCACGCCAACGAGTTATGACTACGCATCCCCTCTATATATCTAGATTTGTATTCAAACTATACTTGAGAAAAAAGTAAATGGGCATGTATTTAAACGATGATGTATTTTAAATTTGCAAAAGCAGCAGGCTATAAAATCTAAACGATCATCGTTTTTAATGATTGATCAGAGGATCAGATCAGATCAGAGGAAAGAGGAAGAGAAGGAGAAGGATATGGCTCAGAGATCTCTATCTCTGAGCCATAAAATAAATTACATCAATGAATATTTTAAAATGGTCCGAGTTACGCAAAATATGTCCGATTTGATAAATTCACTTTGATAGTTTTTTGTTGTGTTTCTAAATAAACAAATGAGCATTAAAAATAAAATTCTGATACTAATTTTTAACCGACTTCAAAAAAAGGAGGAGGTTCTCAGTTCGACTGCTTTTTTTGTATGTATGTTACGCGATAACTCCGGTATTTGTGAACCGATTTTCATGATTCTTTTTTGTTGGAAATAGGGTCCCATTTCATTTTGAAGAAAGTCATCCACCAAAAAACCATCCATGAGTAGCTGATCACGCATGAACATTCATTTTTATAAATAGCGCCTAAGTTTTACTTAAGGAGCAATTATTTTAATGGTTAATTGGTATTGCTATTCTACCATTCAAGGCGTTTTTCTCTCAATATACTTTGAGTAGTGATAACCGATTTTTATTATCTCCTGTGTCAAGTCCTGTATCGTGGTGAACTAGGAGATATTTCAATAAAACTTGGCAAATAGATATAATTTCACGTACTTCTGAGGTCGGTTTTTTTAGTTCTCTGTACTAACTATTAAAACTAAGTAAATTCAAGATTTATTTTTTATTTAAACACTTTATTGTACCACAAAGTAACTTACAAATTTTCAGAAACAATTTAAATATTTGTGTACAAAGGCGAGCTTATCCCATAAAGAGATTTCTTCCAACTAACCTTTGAAAATCTGAGAGGAAAGTTGGTTTTTGAGGTGGCACTAAAAATAGATAAGTAAAGAAATGAAATATACTATACTCAATAAATACACAGATAAATTTAATAAATCAAATGTACATACGAATATATATATGTATATTAAATAATGTTGATACATTAATACATACAAAGTCTATAATAAATTGAATGTACAGAATAAAACTATAAATAAATATATCAAACGTAAATAAATATTTCAAAAGCTCTAACAAGTGGAGTCTGAACAATCCCAAAAGTTCAAAAGAGAACCCTTGAAAACCCGAACCGAAGGCGACTGTCTGACCTCGACCGGGAGAAGGTTCCACATACGGGCAGCATTTACTGTGAACGAGTTCGAATATTTTTGGGAACTGTGTTGTGGAAGGACGAGGGACAAATTGGTGCCAGAACGCAGGCGGTCACCCATAGCCTGACGGTATTGAAAACGCTCAGGTAGATAGCTAGGTGAAGTGGGATGGAACAGGATTTTATAGAGGAAGCATTAAAAGTGAGCATTTCTACGTAAACGAATACGCAACAACTTCAACTCATCTCTAAACTTGGAAATGTGGTCGTACTTTTTCAATCCAAACACAAATCTGATACATTGATTTTGCAGCCGCTCCAATTTATTAAGAAGGTGCTCCGAAAGATCAAGATAGGAGACGTCACCATAGTCCAGAATAGGAAAAAGATGAGTGCGTATTAGCATAAATTTGGTAGACAGAGGAAGAAAGTATTGCATCCGCTTGAGGGAATGAAGCGATGCAAGGATTTTACGACTTACATCGGCGACATGCTCCGACCAAGAAAGTGTCTGATCCATTATGATGCCCAAATTTTTAACTGAAGTGAAAAAAGGAATAATGGTGTCATTCAAAACTAAATTGGGCATCATCATAGACTCAAACTTGGAGATGGAATGGCGACTGCCAATAATTATGGCTTGGGACTTTTGTGCATTTAAAAGAAGTCCGTAGTTCTTAGCCCATACCGAAACC